CGTATACTGGAATGTTGCAAGTGTCATTGCCGTTGTTTTATGGTTGTCATAGAGAATATGATACTTGGGAAAAGAGCATAGAGAATTTGTTTGTGTTGCTTAACATAGAGAAAGAGAGTGAGAAAATATCCTTAGCTATAGGTTGTTTTCATTCTAATGCTTTGAATTGGTGGAAGCTAGTTTCAAATATCTATTCGCATTATTGGTTTCGTAATTTGGATGATTGGCATGATTTGAGAAATGCTTTGCGAGAAAGATATGCTGGTACTAACACCGTTGATGAAGCAAAAGTGAAGTTGCTCAATTGTAAGCAGAATGGTAGATCCATTCAATCTTACTTTGAGGAATTAGAAGGGTTGTTTCTGAGTTCAGAAGTGGATGAGAACGACTACATGTTGACAGACCGTTTCCACTATGGCTTGGACAAGTGGTTCAAACAACACCCAAAGATAAGGAAACAATCAAGGCTCTATGAGGCATACTATGCTGCCTTAGAAGTGGAAAGAGAGCATGATACTTCTTGTGGTTAGAATGGTCCAATTGAGGATCAGGGGTTGGTGTTTGGCGCTGAAGATGGGGATCAACGGACTTGTATCTTCCGTACTAAGTGTTCGGTTGGGTGGTCCAATGAAGTTGATTTGGTAATCGACGGTGGGTCGAGTACTGATTGTATAAGTGAGGAATTTTCCATAGCAAACGGAATCAAGATGGATCCGCATACTAAACCATACAAGCTTCAATGGTTGAGTGAAGAGATGGTTGTGGATGTTACTAAAAAGGCCATGGTACCTTTTCAGATTGGCGAGTATAGGGATGAAATTTACTTTGATGTAATTCCTATATCTCTTTGTGATATTTTGCTAGGTAGGCCTTGGTAGTCAGATGTAGATGTTGTGCACCATTGCTCGAAGAATATCTTTGTCTTTACTAAAGAGGACAGAAAATACATTCTTAAGCCTTTGGCTTATGAAGAATCTGAATCTGTGCGAGAGAAAAGACGTAAGATAACCTATACACAAGGGAGAGAAAAAGTCGAGAGAGTAACGCAAGAAAGTAAAAAGGGTCACGATGAGGTAAGACTTGAGGCGAGAGAAAACCATGAAAATAGCGTGAAAACAGAAAAAAATGCATGCAATGAGAGAAAATCAGAGTGTGGTGAGGGTGAGGATTTTACTAACCCTTATATCTCGTTTGTTCCTTGTGCAGGTATAGAGGTTGATGATTCGAGGACGAATCCTCTTAAAGAAGGAGGGGATGATGAGAATCATGTAGCCTTCCATGGAGGTTCTCCTAGTGAGGGGAATAAGCTAGTCCTTCATTCTAGTTTTGGAATGCCAAGTTTACTTTGCAGGCCAATCAAGGAGGAAAGGATGGATCTTGACTACCTATGTGATAGGGAGTTGGTTCAAGAGAGCTATGATCAAGGTGATTAGAATGTCATTAACTTTGGGGTTCAAACCAAAGGAGATGAAGACCTCATGGAAATAAGTGTTGAAGAGTATCAAGAGAGTTTGACTCTGTGTGCTCCATGAAGATCATTGATCAAACTAGTGAGAAGAGTCATTTAGGTTCTTGAATGGACGACCTATTTGATCAAAGTGTTCAAGATTGAGTCCATTGCTACACAATTGGATAGGTTGCAAACTATCTTAATTGTTTCAAGTGTTTTTCCAATCTTTTGGAGTCAATAAAGAGAACTCTACAAGTTTTGGAGTAAATTGGAGTTTTCAACAACTTAAGGGGCGCAAGACCAATATTCCACTTTTGGAAGGGCGTTCAAGGCATTTTACTTCAACAATTTGGAGCTGAATTTCGAGATTAGAGTTAGTCTAAGTCTAGGAGTCAATTTTTGAATTTTTATCTAGTTAAATAAGTCATGTGGACCGAATTAAACTAGAGTGTTTTGATTAGGAGTCTTAGATTCCTTCTAGATATTATCCTACTTGAGGATAAGTCATTTAGATAAGGTTATTTTAGATAGAAACCAAAACAATCCATGGCAAATAAAGTAACAAGAACACCATAATTATAATGAAGTAGGAAATTAAAGTTCCTCATTCAATTATGACATTTGCTTCATAATACTAAATTTAACACAAATCATTCTGAAAACTCAATGACTTAACAATGCCATCTTCATAAGTGACCATTGAAAATCAACTTTTCCAACAACCAAATATGTAAACTTTAAGAATATATCTCAAAGCCTATAAGATTTCTTGTCATAAATTAAGAAAATCTTTTTAGTAAAACTTCACTCAATTTTTGATCCTACTCTCGAAAATCAAGGTTTTAAACACAAGTCAAAGACTTCAATCCTTAAAGTTGGCCCAATTCAACTTCAAAGACCTTAAAACACTTTGCTACCAAAAACTGATATCACTAAAAAAAAAAAATTCATTCCTCATCACATGACAAAGAAAGTTTTGACTCAAGTTAAGAATCAATAAAAATCCAATGATAGGAAGAATCCACTAATTCGACTCAATCTCAAAGTGCAAAACTCGAGAAAACAAGAAAACCAACATTTGTTACTTTTGAAAAATCTTTTGACACTAAGATTAAACAAGATAATCAACAAAATTCGGTCTCTATGAAATTTTCATGAATTGAAAATCCATAAATTCCATTTTACTCATTAGATTCAAATGAAACCAACAAGAAGGAAGGCTTTTTCATTTATACTTTATGTAGAAAGTACAAAATCACTAAGCTTCACCTTTGAAAGAATAGATCCAAGATATTTACCACAAGATAAACTCTCAAATCCTCCTTATGTAAAGACATCTCTTTAGAAAGAAAAGGCTATCTCGAGCAAGAAGCTCTTCTTTGGCATCAATTCTCTCCTTAAAGATCCAACACATAAGATCCACCAACTTGCTCATAGGAGAAACAGTTCTCTACTTGCAAATCAAGGATAAATTTCAAGATGTAGCGCCCACTTTGATTAGATACCAACGTACCATCATCAAGTTCTCGCATAGACCTCAAAATAACACCACAAGATCAAACAAATGTGTAAGAAGTCACGCACAACCACACAAAAGACAAGATCAATTTTGAAACGTAGTTTTCACAAGAATTTGATTTATTTTTTTCAACACCCCATTCCAAAACAAGAAAGAACCTTGAAACAAATAAAGATAGTACTACTCGTTAAGTAGCACAAAGCTCGATTACCACACCAAGTAACGGATTCCGTGGTAATTCAAGATATTCTCAAAACCAAGAACTATGAAGTCCTCAACTAAGAAGAAATCTCTCGAAAATCAAACTGATAATAGAAAATGATATGATAATATCAATTAATACCATCACTAAGATAATCCAAGCTCTGATACCAAGAAACTGATCGCAATCTCGTAGACGAAAAAAATTTCGTTAATGCAACCATCAACAAGAAAGTACGAAGATAATTTTGTCTATCCCGTAAAACTCAAAAGAGTGCGGAAAATTCACAGTAAGACGATCGTTTATCTAAGTGATTCTATCTCTTAACTCAAACCAAGCAAAGAACACATTATCCACGAAAGATTCGAATTAAACAACAAACCACGCTAAGAATAGCAAGGACACCATTCAATATAGTCGATCAGTCATCTATCAAGAGACTCAAGAAAGGCAGGAGCAAACAATGCCCAACTATGAAGGAATACTATTGATTAGTAATCTTCATAACCAACCAAAGATATGCAACACATACACTATCTCAAAATGCTTATGCCAAAGCACAACTCATCCAACAAAAGTAGGACAAACCCCACAATGGATCTCATGAACACACTCATCATGAAATTCGAACACCAAGCCAAAAGAAAGGCTCATCAATCGAACTACTTGAAGTAGTATGAAAATAAGAAGTTTTGTTTTAAAAAAATTCTATCAAGAAGCATAGTTGAAAAAGAACGGTTTCTGCAAGATCAAAAAGATCCAAGACAAGATGAAAACCCTCTTGGTTTAATCATACTTGACACGAAAAATGGACACTCCATTTAACAAAAATTCCTCACCTCAAAAGAGACAACAAAAATGACCACTCAAGGGTGCTTAAGAAATTCGGCCAAGCCTCCTATTTATAGGCTTAGAATTTCGGCCAGCACCTCTAAAAAGAAGACCAATTAGGACTCTCTAATCTTATCTCCCAAGGAGTAAAAGTAGAAGAGTACTTGATCTCTTTGACTCTATCTAAAATCTAGGAAACCTTATCTAAATGACTTATCTTCAAGTAGGATAATATCTAGAAGGAATCTAAGACTCCTAATCAAAACACTCTAGTTTAATTCAGTCCACATGACTTATTTAACTAGATAAAAATTCAAAAATTGACTCCTAGACTTAGACTAACTCTAATCTCGAAATTCAGCTCCAAATTGTTGAAGTAAAATGTCTTGAACGCCCTTCCAAAAGTGGAATATTGGTCTTGCGCCCCTTAAGTTGTAGATAACTCCAATTTACTCCAAAACTTGTAGAATTCTCTTTATTGTCTCCAAAAGATTGGAAAAATACTTGAAACAATTAAGATAGTTTGCAACCTATCCAATTGTGTAGCAATGGACTCAATCTTGAACACTTTGATCAAATAGGCCGTCCATTCAAGAACCTAAATGACTCTTCTCGCTAGCTTGATCAATGATCTTCATGGAGCACACAGAGTCAAACTCTCTTGATACTCTTCAGCACTTATTTCCATGAGGTCTTCATCTCCTTTGGTTTGAACCCCAAAGTTAATGACATTCTCATCACCTTGATCATAGCTCTCTTGAACGAACTCCCCTATCACATAGGTAGTCAAGATCCATCTTTTCTTCCTTGATTGGCCTACAAAGTAAACTTGGCATTCCAAAACTAGAATGAAGGACTAGCTTATTCCCCTCACTAGGAGAACCTCCATGGAAGGCTACATGATTCTCATCAGCTAAACAGGAATCGGTAATAACCTCGCCGGTTGGTTTAAGGATCAAACAATAAGCATCAGAAGAAAATGAGCAAACAGTATTTATTCACCTGTGAACAAGGGGAGGCATAAACTCATGATGCAGATAGGTTAAAGCCTCAGCAGCTCCAATAGCAATCTTCAACCTCCTTTCCCAACAACCAATTTCGCGCAAATTTCTCGACAGATCCCCCTTTGACATGTACTTGTAAACCAACAAGTTCTGGACATCTCCAAGCAAAGGCACTAATCTGGAATGAGAAAGCTCTCTGTGGATTTCGACGGTTCTTGTTAACCGGAAACCCAAACGATCAACCATCTTGACTACCACACGAGTTCCATCTCTCAAACTACCACGAAACAGTCTCCCAGATTTCGCATGGCTGATGAGATTGGAAGGATTAAAGTCATTTGTGGCTTCAAGAATTTGGCTGTAAGTAAATGATAAAAAGCTAGGACAAGGAAGTTTTTCATCACCATCATCATCAGGGGAACTAAGACTAAGACTGGAGGAGGAAAGATCACTGGGCGACCTTAAAGCGCTGCGACGAAATTCCTCTCTTCGCAACGTTTCCCTGACCAATCTTTCCCAATTTCCATAAATTCTGGACATCTCTGTAATCAACTCTGTTCTATGATGTGTTATAATTGGATCAAATTCCATAAACTCAACGGTTTTAGACCCTCATTTCGACTCAGATATGGTGAATTGGTGATGCAAAAACAGGGATAAAAGCATATTAATCACGATAACCCAAGAAACAGCAGGACCCGAAAACGCATTAATGCATTGACTCCAGGTCGGTTCTGCAGAGCAAACTTTTGGAAGCTTTCTTGGTAATTACTCCTACCTACTAACAGTTCAGTATTTGTATGTGATGAATCACAATTTTATTTATTATTATTGGGGGAAAAAATGCAATTAACTGTTAAAGGAATTTTTAAAATTAACGGAAACGAATAATTTCCATCCATTTATTCAAACTTTGAGAGAAAATTTCAATAATTGAATAGTTTGATACTAATAAGCTCTATAGTTTCTTAAACCTTGAGAATAAAACATGAGTTTTCCCTTTGCTTTTAATAGTGAGTCTTGATAATACACAAGATTCGATGATCTTTGTTTTAGGGTTTTGTATCCATAACATTTTCACCTTTTCACTCAAGACTTGAGGAAAGACTGCCATTTAATAATACAGTAATTCTCCAACCCCTAATTTTCCTGTTATCTCAAACCTCAGATATTTTTATTCTTTTTCTTTTCTTTAAATCATGTTATGTTATTACAAACATTTCTTCCCGTTCAATAGTGTATAAAATTGAGGGTATTTCTCCCGGCATCATATTCATTCCGATATCAAATAATGAACCACGGATTTTCAAACTCCACTTTTACCTCTTCTGTAGAATTAATATGATATATTCTGTGGTGTTTTGGTTCTAGCGGAAATTTTTGTGTACAATTTAGAACATCATTAGGTGCCTTAAGTCTAGATTGATTACGCAGTCTACAAGGTTGTCTTTTGATCGTGGCAGCTGCAGTGAGAATGGAGTTTTGTCTTCTGTAAAACAAAATTTTGAAGGAAGAATCATAGGCTATAGGAATGAGGCGTAGACATGTTCAACGTGCTTGTTTTTTTTTCTTTTTTTTAAAATAAAGCAATTGGTATCCGAAGTCATTGATAGGATATAACGATCCTATTCGAGTCGGATCAAACTCCAGAAATGAGAGGGAGACAGAGTTCTGGCTAAAAGTCATTTTTCATTAATTTTTTCTTCTTGTTGTTGTTATGTTCATAGAATAAAGATACATATTCATAGACTGACGAGTCCATATCCATCACCAAGACTGGACCGACCCATCAACCGAAAAAAGAGTCCAACCGGGTCTCTTAAGGCGGTTTAGGTTCCTGAAACCTAATAGGACTCAGGGATTTTCCAGGTATTCTCATACCTATAAATAGGGTTGCTCACACCACAATACGGGTACGCAAGATATAGCTTAACACACTATACACTCAAATATTCCGATAACCCTTTATTGACTTAAGCATCAAAGTGTCTACCCTCGGGAGACCCCCGAGGCTCTATTTTGCAAGAAACCCTAGCCGGAGTTCCACTACTAGACCGGCGGTGCGAATTCAAGCTTCGTCAAGTGGCACGCCCAGTGGGACCCGAAATCTTCTGGTAAAAACTTGGGTTGCAGGAACAACCAGCACAATGGTTAGAGTTGAAGAAGACACCAGTAGCATGCATCTTCCGGCAGACGACATAGTCCGGGAGACAATACCACCCTGGCAGAATTCCAACACAGACAAGAAAGGAGGAAAGCAGGAAAGAGCCATGGCGGAGAACCTGAAAATGAACCAACAAAAGAGCGCTTGGTCCTTGGTTCTTCCCAGCCAGATCTGAAGAAACAAGACAAGACCAATCCCACCCGAAAAGGAGGATATACCTTCTCCTCGAAATACCCCTGCTACCAAGAAGCGTTTGGAGGATCAAAAGCTAGCCAAGATTGAGGCCGAACTCAAGAAGCTAAGGGATGATAGCGATCAATAACAAAGGATGCAAAAATACTTCCTCGAGAAAACCAGGCGGCGCTGTCTCCTTGGAAAACCTGATCCCACAGAACAGGAATTGAGTGATTTAATCGAAGAGAGAAAGAAGCTCACAGAACCCTAGCCCTTCTCGAGAAGAAGCGGGGAAAGCGGAAGGTCCAAGAGAACGAGGATTACCAAGAAGTCGAGGGTTGTGAAGACCTCCACGAAGATCACTCAATCGCCACTCGAGACACCGTATTCTGGAATGCTTTCAGAGAAAAATACCCAGCATTCGAAACGGCCCTTGAGGAATTTGACGTGACATACCCACGTAAAGGTGCTCGAGAGTATCACAGTTCCCCGAGTATCGAGGTCATTGAAGAAGGAGAATGGAATCCTCCAAGGCGAACTAACGTGCACAACCGCCTGGGACCTAATTGGAATCGAAGAAGTCATCGAAGAGATGAATATAAATCTGGCCATGAATCACATCAAAGCTACAACAACAATGAGGGCAATCATGACCGAGGATACCATCACTGTCCTTAGTACTCACCTCCCAGGCATCAGCAATATAACATGCATAGAGAAGATTCGCCATACCTCCCTGGAGATCAATAGGGAACAAGAGATCAAAATATCTTGATCCGAGAAGAAATGAGGAAGATCATTGGGATAGGGGTAGATCAAAGTCCCTTCATCCCGAACATTCGAGATGAACCTAAGCCTCGAGACTTTGACTTTCCTAAGGAATTTAAACCGTATTCAGGAGATACTGATGTCTCTCAATGGCTGCAAGGGTATGCCCAGGTTATGAGAATTCGAAACGCAACTATGAATTTCATGGCCAAAGCGCTACCTTCTTACTTGGTGGGGTCAGCACAGCGATGGTTTGGGCAATTACTAGAAGGGAGTGTAATTAGCTTTGAGGATCTATCTGTTAAACTAGCTACTCGATTCTTTCAGAGTAAATGAATATCGCGAATGTCCATTGACCTCTCCTCAATCAGACAAGGGCAACATGAGAGTCGCACCAATTTCCATAGACGGTTCATACAAGAAACCTTGCAAGTCGACAGCATTGATGATCGAGATGTTCGCAACGGATTCATTCAAGGCCTCAACCCTTTTGGAAAATCATCAATGTTGCGGGTCAAACTCTCGACTAAGCCCTCCAAGAATGCTCAGGAGATATGGGCCATTGTCGAGAACCATATACAACGAGAGAACACACTGAAAAGATCCCAAGAATCTTTTGCGTCGGTAGGAACCAAAGACAAATCGAAGGTTTTCACGGAGAATAAACTGGCGCTTCCCAAGATGGATAGGCAATTAACACCCCTAACCAAGTCACGGCGAGAAATCCTCCAGATCCATAAAGACGAATTACCAGCCCCGAAACCTTTGGCACCTAATCCAAATAGGTCAACGGAACAATATTGTGAATATCACAAGGATCACGGCCATGACACAGAGGATTATCGAGAACTTAAGAGGAAAATCGCGAATGGGGTTAAGTCTGGCAAATTTCAGCAGTACGTACAAGGAGCCTCTCGGCAAAAGAATAACAAACCCCAATCACGAATTTATCCAAGAAGAAACTTCAAAGGCCCACCGCGGGTAGATGGTAGGGGGAACAGTTGGCAACCGAGAGCCAATACCCAACAACAGCCTTACCAAATTACTGAAGCAACACCGCAGCCACTCCAGCAACTCCCCCTGGCAGATCCGACGTAGCAGATCACTCACCAGGTAGGGCTATTTACGAAGCTCTCCTCGAAGTCTTATCCACCACGGCCATGAAGAACTCGTTGCGGACCATCAGCAAGACTCCCCGACAGGAGCCTAGCCACAAGAGGTTCAAAGGGACGGAGGCCATCGTATTCACAGATAGCGATGTAGTCCAGATATCTGCCCGCACAGTGACGCCATGGTTATTGAGGCAATAATTTCAAATGTGAAAGTTGGAAGAGTTTATGTGGATAATGGCAGCGCGGTCGACATCATATATAGCGACTGCTTCAAGAAGATGAATATCAAGAATCCTAGCATCCGTCTAGCCATAATGCCCTTGATGGGATTCTTAGGCCACACCATTATTCCAACAGGAATAATTAGCCTCCCCATCTCGGTAGGGTCGCATCCTAGGACAGTCACTTTAACCATGGACTTCGCTCTGATAGATGCGCCCTCGCCGTTCAACGTGATTCTGGGACGACCCTGGATGTGCCAAGCACGTGCAGTCTGGTCTCCCTATCACCTAGTAATGAAATTCTTGACAGAGTATGGAGTTGGAGTGGTACAAGGATGCCAGCGTAGCTCTCGAGAATGCTTGCTCACAGCAGTTAGAATCGGAAAAAAGACTGCGCACCTTAATCCGGGTGCTGCTACGTCAGAATGTTACTCAATCCGACAAACATCCGTATCACCACAGATAGAGGGTCACAATATCCCCAATCTCCCACAGATAGAGGCACACCCCATCATGATTTTGACGGAACAACCCATTCAGCAAGTCCTACTCAAGCCAGAGGCCTCCGGCAGGATGATGAAATGAGCAGTCAAACTGGGCGAACACCACATCGAGTACAAACCACGAGCAGCAATCAAAGGTCAAGCCTTTGCAGATTTCCTGGCAGAAATGCTTCGAGCTGTCGACGTCCCAGAAATTGTGAAACCAAAGGATGATCCTGCTACTCGCGTTAACATCAACCCTCGAGCCTGGTTACTATACGTCGACGGCTCTTGTAGTGATGAAGGGGGATGACCCGGTATCATATTAGCCAAACCTTCAGCCGATCCCGACATCAAAAGCATGAGGGAGTATGACACAGAATATACGTATGCACTAAGGTTCGGATTCCTGGTCACTAACAACGTGGCCGAGTATGAAGCATTGATAGTAGGACTGAACATGGCACTAAAACTCAGGGTTCACAGAATTCAAGTTTTTAGTGACTCTCAGGTAGTGATGAAGCAAATATTGGGCGAGTATACAACAAATGATGAGTAACTCAAGCGCTATCTCAGGAAAGTCCTCAAAATCAAGGACAAGTTCGAAGAATGCACCGTATCTCACATAGTCCGATCGAAAAATAAAAGGGTGAACGCCCTCAGTAAGTTGGCCTCCTCGAATTTCGCACACCTCATTCACAAAGTGTGGGTCGAGATTCTCCCCAAGCCTAGCATCCAGAAAACCCCGGTAATGACTATCACCGAGGACGAAAACACTTGGATGACCCCGTTCATCCAATACCTTACAGACGACACATTACCAAGCAGAAGAGCAGAAGCCAGAGCCCTCCAATTGAAGGCGGTTAATACACATTGCAAGACGGTATCCTATATAAGCATGGGTACCTGCTACCCATGCTAAGATGCATTGGCCTAAATCAAGCAGCTTACGTGCTCGAAGAAATACACAAGGGATCGTGTGGAGCACATATGGGGGCGAGAGCACTTGCTAAGAAGCTCTTGCGGGCAGGGTATTTCTGGCCAACAATCTTCAAGGATGCATACCAGTCTGTACAGAAATGCGATAAATGTCAACTCTTTTCTCCCATCACTCGACAACCGCAGCACGAGATGGTCACCATTCAAAGCCCTTGGCCATTCTACCAATGGGGCACTGACATCATCGGCCCTTTCCATCCAAAAGGGGCAGGAGGAGTAAGATAGGTAATCGTAGCAGTAGATTACTTCACTAAGTGGGTAGAAGCTAAACCGCTCGCCTCGATAACAGGAAGGAAGGTGTTGGATTTTTTCTGGCAGAACATCGTATGCTGCTTTGGAATCCCAAAGGTTATCATCTCTGACAATGAGACCCAATTCGAGAGTAATCCCTTCAAGCCATGGTGCGAGGAAATGCAAATCGAGCGTCGTTTTTCAAGCGTAGCTCATCCTCAAGCTAATGGTCAAGCGGAATCTATCAACAGAACCATCTTACATGGGATCAAGACCAGGTTGTATGACGCAAAGGAGCATGGGCCGACGAGCTTCCTCACGTCCTATGTCATACCATACTACTGCTCATTCCTTGACAAACGAAACACCATATAACTTAGTCTATGGCATGGATGCCGTCCTCCCGGTCGAAATAGGCTTATCGAGCCCTCGAACAATAAACTTTATCGCGAGCACTAATGATGATAACATCAAGCTGAACCTCGACCTGCTCGAGGAACGGCGAGACGCAGTCAGAATTTGAGAGGCAAAGTATAAAGAGATTCTACGAAGACATTATAACAAGAAGGTGAAGGCCACAGATCTCGCGGTAGGCGATCTCGTGCTAAGAAAAAATGAAGCCAGTCGAGCAGAAACTCCTGGAAAACTCAAAGCAAATCGGGAAGGGCCCTACAAGGTTATCCAGGCTTCCCCAGCAGGCAGCTACCACCTACAAACCTTGGATGATAGCGGAACTATTCTCCCTCGATGGTGGAACATTCAAAACCTTTGCAGGTTCTATATTTGAATCTTTGCTTGCTATTTGTTTATCCCAATTGTGTGTTTTGCTTGCTTTATTTACTTCCTCAATTTTATCCTCTCATATGTAATGCTAACCCGAGTCCTCGGGTAATTATTCAATAAAAGACATCACATATTCTTTTCATTGTCGACATCCTATTCATGACTAGTCATCGAGATGGACTCCTCTTCAGGACCATCCTCATTAAAGAGCCGTGTATTCAACATCCGGACACAAAACCGAGCAATCCTCCTCATACACGCTGCAAAACACAGTATCGAATCGAGGAATTCGTACATAATTCCCTCGATAGAGCCGTGCACTTTACATCCGGTCTAAAAAGCGCTATATAAATTGACACTCGAGTTTTTTCAAAATAATCCATTAATTTTCTTCACACTACTGTGCGAGCTTGTAGAAAATACACATATTTTCTCTACACTATTACAAGAACTTCCCTGATAGGATTGTCAGAAAAAGGATGAATAATCCCCTTAAACCCATGCAGGCTAAGGAGATTCACACATTGGTTAAGCTTGTCCTTAAGATCCACGATCTCTAGGTCTTGGGTATGCACCCTCATTAACAGCTCTTCTCGAGAACTCCGAGTTCGAGGATCCACCGTTTCCTCTGGGTGCTCAAAAGTCTCGAAATCAATGTGGTTATCTAGTAACAGATTTTGTAGTTTGGCAATGTAATCCGTGAGAAGCTCGATCTCACGAGCTTTCCCTTTCAATATATCCATTGCTACAATAAATTGGCGGGTTCTGGTCATAATCATGTGTTGAACTCGGGCTAGTACTTGATGTTTCTCGAGAAACCAGGGGGACACGGTTATCTGTTGTTCTTTCCCTCAACCGAGCATTCTCTTTCTCCAAGATAACCAGATCATCATGGATCTCAGTCTCGAAAGTCAGTGAATCGCCGTAATCTTTCAGACTTTGAATCTCACAGCGCTGCATCTCCTCACGAAGTTCTTTAATCTCATTTATCAAATGCTGATTAACTTTCACATTGTGCATCCTCATCGCGTCAAGAAGGTCATTCTCTAGGTCTGCCACTGTCTCGATACTATGCACGTTGGCACGACCTCTTAAAATCCCGCTAATCATGGAGTACAGCGAGTACTCACTCAATTGCTCCTCCGATAGAACCATGAGGTGAATGTGGTGGACAGGCCAACTATCCTGCTTCAAAATAGGAGCGTAAGATATTTGCATCGAATCAGAGTAAAGCAAGAAAAATGATGCTTGTATAAGCACGAAAAACGAAGTAATCAGTTCATTACAAAAATAGCAGTTCAACAAGCCTAGCAGCTATTACAAAGGGTAGGATTCATACAGCATCACTGCCAGGAGGGTGATCCTTGGAAGGGTTCTGAGACGCGTCCTCAGTATTTCTCTGAACTCCAGAGTGGTCAGTGTCAGCAACATCCTCCTTGGTGGCTTCATCAGCATCCTCAAGCTCGATACCCATGTACTCATCTGGTACATTAGGTATGGAATCCTCTTCACTCGGACCCTTGGCAAAAATGGTGGGCACGTCACCAGGAAATGATGCAATGTCTGCAGGAGAACTCATTTTTGCCATAGCACCAGTCAGAGCCTCCCACAGAGGTAGCTGCTCGAGGCTCAACTTTGTTAGGACCTTCACCATTGCCTCGTGTATGGTCTTTTTCGGGTCCTTTATCCGGAGTTGCTTGAACCATTTGGCTTTGATGGTCTATCCTGATCGAGCCTCTTCAAACCTGCTACGCCAACCCGATGTGCCCCGCACTTAGTAGCTACCAAATTCATCTCCTCGAGTGTTGATGTCATCCCACCTGTTGATAACATCTTATACATGAATGCAGCGCACCACTTGTGCAACTCCTCTTTCGAGATGTGCAAGCTGGCAAATGACTTCATCTTCTCATCCAGCTCGTCGTACTTGGCTTGTACCGAGGCAATCTTAGCCTCTTTAGCTTGGACTTGACGAGCCTTTTCCTCGAGAGTCACCACCGAGAGTCACCACCTCGAACAAGGCCTCATCCCTCTCAGATCGAGCTGTGAACAAATCTTCTCGCAGTTTCCTTAGCTGCACCAGATAGGCCATCGAGACCGCACTTATCTACACCAAAGTAATACATTAAGAACACATTGATGTGGCGCTGGTTCATGGTCAATATTCATTTGCAACAATGGAGAATTACTTACCAGTCTCAGACTATCGGTTTCATTCAGCTGAGCAGGAAATTCATCGAGAACAGGACACTCGATCGACGGTGGATTGCTAAAGGTGTGCACGGCCACGGATGGACCTCTCTCGAACAGTTGAGGGGGCAGGGTAATCGCCTCTCCCTCGTGAAGGCCCTTGCCTTTCTCTGATCTAGGGGGCACGTAACTTGGCTCAGTTTCTGTAGGGGGATTTTGGATAGTTTCAGTAGCAGGGGTCACTGTCTTATCGCCTTGTGCGACAGTCTCCTTTGGAGGCACATCTGTTATGGCCTTTTTGGATTTCACTTTGTCACCAGCCTTCACGATCATCTTCTTCTTTTTCTTCTACCCAAGGGCTGCGGTGGTTGATACATCCTCATCTGAATTCACAATAGTAAAGGGATCTTCGTCACCAAACAATCGAGAACCAGCGTTGCTTGAAGACATGACCTAAGAACAGACAAGAGAGGAGCAAATGATTAGTACCTTTGTTTTCTTCAACAGGAGTTTCGAGAGAAATTCTGGTTGGGATCTCTACACGATCCTCCCACTCTTTCTTCTCGACATTGGCATTCGCATCTTTATTCTCCTCGGTAGGCACAGGGGGTATATAATATTGTACATTGTTCCATTTAACGACCTTAGCATATTTCAAGATTTTCTCCACATCTGCATCAAGCTCCTTGATGCACTTATCGTCTTCTTGGGTCCACTCATCCTTTATCGTTGCAAGACCCTCTGTTTCTCGATGGTTCCACGACAAACAATAGTACTCGGACGCCTTTACGAACAAGAAGTCTGGCTTCCATTCAGGCGAGCCACCATACGCCTCAACCATCTTTTTAACGCCAGATCTGAGGCGTCTCTTCACGATGTACCAATCCTAGAAAGAGCTCGAAGCAACAACTACTTGGAAGAAGTACCTCCACAGTATCAACCGAGGTTTCACTTTTACATGTTGACATACTTTCGCAAATCCCAGAACAAAAGTTATTAAGTTTGGGGTGAAACGAGCAAAGGGAGTCTTATAGTACTGCACAATTTCCTCGAACAGAGGGAAGAGGGGGAATTTAAGCCCTAGATGCATAAAGCGGTCATATACAGTAATTCTTCCCTCAGGAGGAGAATTAGCTCTCTCGGGTCGTAATTGGGCTCTGGCTTCTAGATCTAAGGAAAGGTCATATCTTGTTCTAATGTTCTCTACTTTATCAACAGAATCTATGATGGAAACGAAATCATCAACGGTTTTTCCCTCAGAATCTCTAACCATGGTTCAGTTACAAATCTACCTTGACTGCAATTCGAAAAGAAAAAGACTTTAAATGAAACCAGGATGGTCAGATCTGAGAACTTACTATTAGAGGAGGGAATGACCACTCGCCTTTCGAGTTGTAACCTCCCAGTGTCCTTCTGAATTCCTGGTAGAAAGTCTCCTAGTGGTAACGTTGCTGGGGCAATATATTAGGGAAGACTATGAATATTCCGACAAGGACAGTCGGAGCACTCTGACAAGGAGAGACACTTTGGTTTTTTGCGAAAAGACAAAATGGCAAATGAAAGAGGAGCGGTGAAGTCTTCCTCTTAAAAGTAAGAGTTATTCTCCCACGTCTCCGTAATTATAGCCCACGATATGACAGTTAGGGCGAGTTTCAAGGGAGTAATGATGGTGAAGCCGCCGTTTGAGGAACGTGCCCACTAATGACGCACGGTTGAAAATTTGGGCGGGACTATGAAACGAGTCACCTTCTCGGGTTAAGACTTAACCCACTGGTTACACCCCGCGCTTACAAGATCGAGAGTTGTGCATTTGAGTCGAGGCCACTTGACACATTGCTCGACAACTAGTTGAACGAGATTAGCCTATCCACTCTCAGACTTGTTCCAGGTAACTCTTACTTTGTGCCAAGCGTTGTTTATCTTATACAACTAACACTTGATAGGGGCACTTGACGAGTCCATATCCATCATCGACACTGGACCGACCCATCAACCGAAAGAAGAGTCCAACCGGGTCTCTTAAGGTGGTTTAGGTTCCCGAAACCTAATAGGACTCAGGGATTTCCCAGGTATTCTCATACCTATAAATAGGATTGCTCACACCACAATACAGGTATGCAAGATATAGCTTAACACACTACACACTCAAATGTTCCGATAACCCTTTATTGACTTAAGCATCGGAGTGTCTACCATCGGAGACCCCCGAGACTCTATTTTACAGGAAACCCTAGTCGGAGTTCCACTACTAGACCGGCGGCGCGAATCCAAGCTTCGTCATAGACTAACCAAAAACTAAAAAGTAGAAAAGAGTAACTCCCACTAATTCCATGGCTCTACTAATTATCTTTAAAACTAACCCACTACTTAAAAACTACCATCTAAGAAGGTTCTCGACAATTACTAACTAGAACAAAGTAAAAAGGTAGTAATTTAATTCTAGTACTTCTATGGCATTACATAGGACTAATTTAGAGTCGAGACGGAACATGATTTTTTTTTTTCCCCAAACGTTACTGACATACATGAGACTAAATGTCTCCAACTTGAGCTTAGAATCAATTCATATTGCATTTTTGTGTTGTAGCAGAAAGAGTGGGGGGAAAGGGCTTAAGCTATCTGCATGTCTACATAAATTTATATTTAGTCCTCCTTCTGTTTCGAAATTATTATCCTCTTTCTGTTTTGAAATTATTGTCTACTTTACGTTTTTAATTTTAGTACAAATTAGACTAAAATAAAAATCTAACCAGAAAGAGGTAGCCATATTTTAGGACAGAGGGAGTACACTATAACTAGAAAGAGGTAATCATACTTGATGATTAATTAACAACAATGAAAATGAGAGAACGGTAGGATTTTTTAATTTGATTTTTGTTTTTAGATAGTTTTGAGACTAGGAGTTACAAGGGAAAACTAATTCTCCTTCTGTCCCAAAATTATTGTCCAGTTTGAGATTTCATTTTTAGTACAAATTGAACTAGAAATGAAAATCCAAACTGGACAATAATTATGGGACGGAGGGAGTACTACTAAAATTCTTCATTGATGAAGATAGAGGTTACAAAGGTGCTCTATATAGATACACAATAATTACAATACAAATTACAAAGATAGGACAAAATATATGTATGTAATAACAGTCATCATCAAGAAAACTTAACTAAGACAGGAGTAAGAGGAGGAGGAGGGTGATTCTGACACTGATCCTGATGATACTGAGGAAAGATCACTGGGTGACCTTAAAGCACTGCGGCCAAATTCCTCTCTTCGCATCGTTTCCCGAACCAATCTTTTCCAGTTGTCATAAATTCTGGACATTTCTGCAATTTATGAAGTCTCTACTCTCTATGAACAAACTACTACTATCGAAAATTTCTTACAAAATACGTTCAGTTCTGAGATCAAATTTCAATAAAACTGAAATTAAGGTTCAGACTCAGGAAGAACTACCTAAGAAGATTCAAGAGCCCCCGGAAAACAAGTTAATCATGACTTGACTCCATGTCATTTGTGCAAGCAAACTTAATTTGGAAGCTTTCTTGGTAATTACTACAACTCTATAAGCACTGTTTGTATGTTTTTATCTTTTTCAATGTTTTTTGAATCACAAATTTGTTAATTATTGTTTGATCAGGTATTTATGAACGAGGATTAGAGCCTTCCAAAACCATTAGAATTTCTTGTGAAAAATGCTATAGCTATGGATGTGAAGCGGAAAACGAAATGTTACTACAATGCTAATTCATCGTTGAATATTGACTTTACAATATCACGAAAAATTATGAGAATTTATCCGTATTATATTTCAAGAAAAATCTACAATTACTTAATTCGTGACGAATTTAACATTTTGATACGCACTATCATGAACAGATTTTGTTTATTTGCTTCCAAAGTTTTTTTCTTTTTCTTCTTTCCCTATATGAATTCACACCTTGAATGAGATCTGTCACTAAGTTTTTGATAGATCAGCTTGAATTCGAGAATGGATGTTATCATTACTAAACTTTTAGGCTAAATAATAAAATACTACTTGAATATGATCGTCATTAATTCCTACATAGCAGTTCCAATGCTACGCCTTGAACCACTAGGCCATCTCTCCTATATCCTATATAATTATAATGATTATGAATGCTTATGACCCCAAGATTGAATAAATTGCGAGTCATTCACATTGAATCGATTATCGGAATAATTCCTTTGGTTGGTATGTTACACCGTTACATTCAGAGAAATTGAATCGGGTTCAAATATTGCTTATGGATTGATTGATTCTTGTCAAAAACGAGGAATTGGAAGAATTGGAAGAAAGAGTCCATATCTTTTTCTTTTTTTTTTTATTAAATTCAAATTTGTTTTCATGTTATTTCGTATTCGTATGTTACAATTATTTTCTTGTGCGGGATCATTTTCTCGCGAGATCTCGAATAGACGGAAATTTTATTCATAAGACCTTTTTAATTGTAACAAATATCTTATTACAAATAATTCCGACAACTTCAGGAGAAAAAGAGGCATTTAGCTATTATATAGATGATGCGATTTGAGTTTTATTTTTTATATTTTTTTCATATTGATTCTCTCAGTCTTACGAGAAAGATACTCGACTCTAGTCGATTCATTTTTGAAATAAAATAGAAAAGATTTATACGCTTACTGAGGGTGAAACTTGGAAATAGATCAATTCCTTCTGTCGCGTATCCTCGATTAATGTAACCTCATATATTATGTATTATGAATTTTAGTATTCAGCGAAAGGTTACACATAGGAAAGAGAGTTCTCTTCTGTATTATGAATTAATACGACTTCACTAATACTAATAGACAACATAGAGAAAGACGCACTACATTTAGGAATCAACAACACGAAAATTTTGTTAGGAATCAAATGTATGTTCCACTTCTTGGTGCAAATAGACTTTGACTCACCTTAAACTAATAATACACATGCTGCCGGCGGAATCAACAAAAAAAAAAATACTAAAAAACCAAAACAAAAATAGTTTTACGTTGGTGACAAGGGCTTGTAAAAAAAGAGTAATATGTATTAGGTGTGAAAGTTTGAAATGTGCAATATCACTTTGTCTACATCAGCCTAGTTAATGCGATTTCAGAGAACATTAGAAACATTATTATAATGTAGAAGATACAATTAATTACCCATGACGACAATGATTAGAGGTGAGAAAGGTGACTTCCAACTCTTTTACAAACAAATTGTTTGTTTTTACTTTCAGTTTTAGAATCAGTCATCATCTAATTGAACATTAAAATGTAATAAAAGATCCGATTTCTTAAAATTGTTTGGTTTAATTAACATTACATCAAACCTTTGAAAAACACAAAATAGTTTTTTTTTTAAAAAAAATAAAAATAAAAATACTAGTACTACATAAATTTCAAAGGGGTTTTGAAATTTGGGCAACAAGTATTTTACCAAAATCTATTTTCTATTTTTCCTTTTGACCTTTTGTTTGTTGGTAAAGTCATACAAGATGAGATTACTCCCACAAGCCTAATTCTTTGACTTCTAAACCAACACGTTGAATTTGAAATGGAAGAATTACAGAAATTCTCTTTCATTCATTTTCCCGTTCATGTTCTTCTTGATGAATGTAATTACTATATATGCATGATGACCTCCCCGCCATTCCAACCGACAGGATCGTTGTTGCCAAGAATATCAAATAAAGTTCTTAATTACTAGAAAGTGTGAATTGACATCATTACAAAAAAAAAAGAAAAAAGAAAAAGCACAATAGAACAAAAAGAACCTGGGGAAAAACCAAATTTTCTAACCAATGGAAGAATTAAAAATCATAGTAGAAAATCAAAGTTCACTTGCTACATAAAAAGGTCAGCAACTCTTTTTCCATTATGTGATGCTACAAGTTTCAGCCAAATTGCACCATTTTGTGAACAATTTTCAACATCTTACAAAGAGCTCAAATATTTCCTGTGAATCTTTGTTATCTTACATTTCAGGAAGATCAGTTTTAACAGATTAAAATTAAAGCAAGTGATCATCAAGCTCAAATATTTCCTGTGAATCTTTGTTATCTTACATTTCAGGAAGATCAGTTTTAACAGATTAAAATTAAAGCAAGTGATCATCAAGATTCTAGTTCAAATATGGACTTTTGTTCATCTTCATCAGGAGCTGCCATTTCTTTGATGTTTCTCATGCTTCTCATCAATCAATCAGGGCAGGCTTCAGCTGCAAGTTCCACTCATCCCGCCAATGATACCGACTTTTTTGCTCTCCTGGACATCAAGAATCAAATTTCTGATGATCCATTTGGAATCCTCAAGTCATGGAATACTACCAACCATCACTGCCAATGGTTAGGAGTCACTTGTAGGCTGGATCAGAGTGTAATAGGCCTGAACCTGTTTGGCCAGAATTTACTTGGTTCAATATCTTCACAGATTGGTAATCTTAGTTTCCTTGAATCCATAGACCTCAGAAACAACAGATTCCATGGATATATTCCTCAAGAAGTCGGTCTTCTTTTTCGCCTGCAACGTCTCTACATCTCAAACAATTCATTGGATGGAGAGATTCCAGTTAATCTTACTAACTGCTTTGAGTTGAAGACCTTTGATGCAGTGAGGAACAAACTGGTGGGAATAATCCCTCCTGAGATCGGCTCTTTGGTTAAGCTTGAAGGACTTTATGTTGGTCGAAACAATTTGTCAGGAGAAATTCCCAGATCCATTGGAAACCTTACAGCCCTGAGGCAACTCTATATTTCACTGAACAATTTGAAGGGGCATTTGCCGGAGGAATTAGGCCGCTTAACTAGGCTGTATTCCATTGGATTTGATGGGAATTTCTTAGCAGGTACTATCCCTTCTTCCCTTTTCAATATCTCTACTCTTGCTGGCATATCAGCTTCAGATAATTTACTTGAAGGAACAATTCCAGCCAATGTTGGGCTTACATTTCCAGTAATTCAAGAGTTTTTTGTTGGTGCAAATCATCTTGAAGGGACTATTCCAGTTTCCTTTACTAATGCTACTCTGCTAGAGAAACTTGACCTTGGTAGTAATAGATTCAAAGGTCAAGTTCCAACTAATTTTGGACATCTGACAAATCTTCAGTGGTTCAGCGTGCAAAACAATTTGCTCGGTAGCAATTCATCCGGCGACTTGGATTTCATTTCATCTTTATCAAACTGCAGTAAACTTAATTCTCTAATTGTTAGTTGGAACAATTTTGGAGGCACTTTACCAGATTCAATTGGAAATCTGTCAGTTAACATTGTGCAGATAGATCTTGGTTTGAACCAGATATCTGGAGAAATTCCAGAAGGGCTAGGAAATCTTGCTAATTTGTACTTGTTAGGCATGGATCACAACCTTTTCTCTGGGTATATACCGAGTTTCTTGCACAAGTTTCAGAATTTGCAAAAGCTGTTTCTGAATAACAATAAGCTTTCTGGCCAAATTCCATCTGTTCTGTTCAACATGACCTCTCTTTATGGCCTGTACTTGTCTGATAATGAACTTGAAGGTAACCTGCCACAAATTGAAGCAGATTCTGAATCCCTTCATGAACTGGTCCTTTCTGGAAATAATCTTAATGGAAGCATACCTGCAGAGATATTCAGCTTCTTTTCAGCATTAACATTCCTCAATTTATCCAACAACTTTTTTTCTTGTTCCCTTCCCACTGAAATCGAAATGTTAAAGAATGTGTATAAACTCGACATTTCTCGCAACGCCTTGTCCGGGGAGATTCCTCAAACGATTTCAGAATGTTCAGACCTAGAGTACATTTATATGCAAGAAAATCATTTTCAAGGAGGAATCCCACCAAGCTTGTCTTCCTTGAAAGCTATTCAAGTTTTGGACCTTGCCGAAAACAACTTAACTGGGGAAATTCCGGAAGATTTGTATAAACTTCCCTTTGTGCAATTCATGAACTTATCTTTCAATGATTTGGAAGGGAGGGTTCCAACCGCTGGGTTTTTTTCTAATGCAAGCGCAATATCATTGTTGGGAAACAGTAAACTTTGTGGTGGAATACCTGAATTGAAGCTACAGTTATGTCCTGAAGAGAAACCAAAGAGGAAAAAATCGCTCGCGCCAGGTTTCATTGCTTTAATCATTTTGCTTACCTTGATTTCAGTAGCGGCAATCTTGTTCTGCATTGTGTACTATGGAAGAAGAACAAGAAGGCGAGAATCGTTCACTGCAACAGAACCATTTTCAGGTATCTCCTATCATGAACTTCACCAGGCAACCAGAGGATTTTCATCTGATAACTTGGTTGGTTCAGGGAGTTTTGGATCTGTTTATAAAGGAACTCTTCAACTGCAGGGAGAAAGTCTTGTTGCAGTAAAAGTCCTTGACCTACAAAAAGATGGAGCTTCCAAAAGCTTCTTGGCTGAGTGTTTGGCATTAAGAAACATTAGGCATAGAAATCTAGTTAAAATCTTAAGTTGCTGCTCCAGTAATGATTATCAAGGCAAGGAATTCAAAGCTCTAGTTTACAAATATATGCCGAATGGCAACCTGGATATGTGGTTGCACCAAAAAGCGGATGACAATCATAACGTGTCAAGCGCTATTAGGCCTTTGAATCTTCTTCAGAGGTTAAACATTGCAATGGACGTGGCGTATGCACTAGATTATCTCCATAACCAGTGTGAAACTACAGTTGTTCACTGCGATTTAAAACCATCTAATGTCTTACTTGATGAAAACTTAGTTGCTCATGTAGGAGATTTCGGGTTAGCAAAACTCCTGCATCATGATGCAGGTAAGCATTCGCAACGAGAAACTAGTTCCACAGGCCTAAAGGGCACCATTGGATATGCAGCACCAGGTAATCCATTTGTTCAACTATTTATAACATTATCAACATTGATGATTTCTGGCCATTGCAAGAATCTGATCGATAATGTCACTAAAAAAACATTCATTTCCAGCTAAGCTAAACAAATGTAATCATAGCTTAACAAAAACACTGATACTTTCCCTGCTTTTTCTTTTACTTGGTTAAAGAATATGGAATGGGAGGTCAAGTATCCACTCAAGGGGATGTGTACAGTTATGGTATCCTCTTGCTAGAGATGATCACGGGTCAGAGACCGACGAATGAACTGTTCAAAGACGGCCTTAACCTGCATGAATATGTTAAAGGAGCAATCTTTAAGGTATCAAAGATTGTTGATCCTCATATCCTTGTGCTTGGAAAAGAAGAAGATGAGAATTATCAAGGAAAAGTGAGTGACATGGAGAAAACAGAAGACAAGAAAGGGCTTGAGAAAGTAACAACAAAGTGCCTAACTGCATTGTTGGAGATTGGCCTTTCATGTACTTCACAATTACCTAAAGAAAGGATGGATATGATGGATGTTGTGAAGGAATTGAACATGATCAAGAATGCTTTTTTCAATGGTGGGTGAGTAGATTCATCTTTCAGTTTTAAATCTTATTAATATAAGCATGATGTAAAACTAGATCATTTGGGGTTCATCAAGAAATAAAATAGGAAATTTGTGGGGGGTCTCAATGCATTATAAAGTGTTTCGGGCAAGCCTTAAAACTTATTCATATTTTAATGCAAGTAGTACCTTACACGATAGTACATAGGTCCAAACGCGATAATTTAAGTATAAATATTTCCTCTCGTCCTAATAATACTATAAATTACAAATTAAACTAATGTTTAGGATCATATAAGAGTATTTTTACTTGGATACCTCATTATATCATCATTAAACAAATTTTTTTTTCTCTTACAATTAGTTATATTGGGACAATTTATTGATGTTGATGATGATGACAAAAAAGCATTGAACCTTCCTTGGGAGTTTGCATTGTCATGTCAACCAATGTCATCATCCAATTAGGCCACCCAGACTCTCATAAAATCCCTTCAGAATTACAAAAGCACACACACAGCTGATGAACCTACTGGGCCCAACCAGAGAGCATAAATAAAATACTAGTAGTAGTTCAAAAAATTTAAAAAATTACAAAAAGGAAAAAGATATTTATATAAGCCTTTTGCCCGTCCCTTTCGTTGCCTTCCTTCTTCCAAAATCATTACGATTCACGCCATTAAAAATAACATATTAGTAGCGTCACACTCTCCGCCACCATTACAACCTCAGCTTCGACGTCGTTTTTTACTGCTTCCTTGCTCGCTAAGAATCCCCATAAGGTTTTCCGCCGCAATTCTCAAAAATGGCTCCGCCGGCGAATGGTGGCGGCGGTGCGGTTGCTGAAGCAGCAGGGCAAGGAGGACCAGGAGGAAGACGGGAGCAGCAGCAAGGTGTTGGGCAGATGCTTACCGGAATAATTAGGGTTGCTGTGTTTTGGTACTTTGCATCCAAGTTTTTCTCTCCCAAGAAGCCTCTCGACCCTAGTCAGCCCACCACTCAGATCTCCAACCTCTTCCACAGAGGCGAACGTTTGGTCAGTTTCCAACTCTCTCTCTCTCTCTCTGTTTTGGTTTCTATCTCTCTCGTTTTTTTGTTGTTCCGTTGCATGCTTATTGTAGAAGCTTGGATTCCTGGAGTCCCAGAGTTAAAAGATGCAATACATATTGGAAGGAATTATTGAGTTTTTTTTACTTCGATATAATTCTGTTTGAAGCTCTGAAAGTTGGATTTAATTAAGTTTAGGTTGTGAGAGCAAAACAACGTAGTTATTTTGAAAGTAATAGCTATGTTTGGATAATTACTGGCTGAGTTTGGTAATATATCATGCACTTGCTCTTTGTAGATGTTTATTATCGAACTTAAGTATCCTTAAAACTGTAATTTTGGGAGGCTCAAGTGGGTGCCTTCATGATAGCTTCAGGATTTCTGTGATCTTTGTTCCCGGAATAATTCTTCAAACCCTGGTGCTTGTGTGGTGAAGAAACCATTATTATTTTTTAAACTATTGCTGTAATCCATTGCCTACTGGATGTTTTGCGTTTCCATCACATTCAATAAATACAACTCTAGTTCCCAGGGTTTGGTCTCTCTTTTTTGTCTGTTTTTGTCTTTGTAACTTAGAAGTCTTTTAAGCTTTCGAATAGCTGAAGTCACAGATACCGATTTAACCTTGGCTTGTGCAACTTTTGATGTTCTGTTTACAAGGATGGTTAGTTGCATTTTTTTCTATGCCGCGTAAGGTTACTCTGACTCTGTTTTATGGAGTACCAAGATTGGATTTAGATGATTTCTCTCCTAATTTTTGCTTTTGGCTTTTTGTTAAAACAGCAACTTCTGCCATTGGTTGCTTGAGGATATGAAGATGAATTGTGTTTTAGTAATCTGTGTGGATATGAGTCTTGAGGATGATAGTTATCTCGAAATTAGGGACTTCTTTTGGATGATTCTACATTTTGCTTCAACTTTAAGAGAACCAAATTAGTGCGAACGTTGAGTTTTGAATTGCCATAAGAAATCTTTCAAATTATCTCTGGTTGATCTGTGGCTGTCAAGGAAACTTTTTTTGTGTAACTTCTCTTAACACCGACTCTTTGCCATCTTCCTCACTATGGTGTAAACGTGGGAATTTTCTGTTAAATTTAGGAAATAGATTATACTAATTTATCTCTGTTAAAATGGAACTATATTTTTTCTACGGGTCATGGTGTACTTCTTGTTGGATTTGTAAGATTAATCGTAGTTCCTTGTTGATTTTTCTTGTTTTGTCCTTTTTAAATATATAAAAAATAAAAAATTCCTTCAACTTTTTCTCTCCCAGGATATGTGGCTTTATCTTTCTGAGCAAGAAACGTTCAATGACTTCAGTAGTGAAAGTTCTCTAGTTTGGCATGAGACAGAAATTCCTTATGCAGTTTGGGGGCAGGAGAGTATCAGGCAGGTTTCATTGAAGCATTATCCATCTGAGGTAGGATAGTTCTTTGTTATGCACAGAGCCAGTGAACTTGGGCCCCTCTAATATCTATGTAGATATGATAAAATACAAAGGATATTGGAAGGGGATTGTTTGGTCGTATGTTTGTTTCACCTTATTGCTCTGTTTAAACTTTTCTCCAGGCTTTGAAGCACAATGGGACTCTTTATGCTCATATTTATTTCGCTCGTTCTGGTTTTTTGCCGGATCCAAATGATCCCGGGTATCAACCAGTTTCAGCCTTTGGGCATAGATATCGTGAGTTAGTGTTGTTTGGGTTACTTTTCGTTGTCGAATAAGTTTGGCAAAAATAAAAAAAGCTATGGAAAATGACATGGGATTTCTTGACTTTTCTATGTAGCTGTTGTTGCATATTTGCCCAAGCCAAAAGCAAACAAAAAGAAGAGTCTATTGGGGAGTTCCAAAGACTTGCATAAGGCTGAAACAGATTCCAAGGTAAATGGATCTTTCTGTAATTTGGTATAATATTTCTAAAATAAAATATCAAATTAGTTGTTGTCGGTTTATCTATTGTTTTTTATGCTGAGTGTTAAGGTACTTGAGAATTTTAGATGATCCATGTTAAAGTTGAATATGGTTGTTTAGGTGGGTGAAGCTGATCAAGGTGATATTACAGATGATGAGCCAACTGAGTGGATCTCATATTGGAAACCAAATATTACAATCAATTTGGTGGATGATTTTACGAGGTATTGACTACATGTAACTTTTCATTTCTTATTAAAGAATGTATTTTATGAAATTTTAACTATTACATGTTTTTAAGATCATCAAGTGTAATTGTAAGATGTCCTGATTCACCAAATTAGGTGGTATGCATCCTATTGTAGGAGGAGGGGTTGTTATGAACCCTGGACCATCCTATGGGGGGTGGGGAAGGGAGATCTCCAGTTGGTAGGAAAAGGAACCCCACAACCCCTTTGGGTCTGCACTTGCGAGAAGAAGTGGAAAGATGAATAAATATAGTAATAATTTGATTCTTTGACAGTCGTAGTAAATAGGGGGGAGAAAATAAGGAATTGAACCTGCGCAGGAATTGATTCGCAGTCGACTGCATTGATCGGCCCCTATATTTTTTTTTTATGTTTAATGGTTTCAAAATTTTGGTAAAGAATTTTCTCATTTCAAACATTTTTCTTTTGTTTTATTTTTTATTTAAAGGCTTAAATAATAAATACTCTTTAATTACAAGTTGAGCACATGTAATAATTTTTTTTAAAAATCTGTATGTTAAATAGAGTAACAATAATACACGAAAAAAGAAAACAAAGTGGCAGAAAGGACCTCTTCATAGGGCTCCATTTTATTTGTTGTACTTTTAAGTGGTCACTGCGACTTCAATATAATTTTAGCGGAACTTATATCTTGTTTTCATATTTTCCAATTGCTCTCTCTTCTGTTCCTGTGCTGATTAGTTTACTCTTTTCTTTCCTCACAGCTACAAGCAGAATGCAATTCCCCCAAATATTGCTCCTTGTATCCTTGAAATATTTCCGCATCGATATTTTAGCATGTTCTCTGATTTGAGCCCAAGTGACCATTTTTTCTTCTTCTTTTGTTTAAAATATTTTGCCTGTGAGCTTCTGGGATGTGTTGGGGTGAGGGAGGGAATGGACATGCACAGCTGAGTACACACTGATTGACGTCTCATGAAAGTCTTCGTAGATCTTGAAATATGACCTTACCAAAGGAAGTGAAGTAGGAAAACTAGTTATTGTGTGGTTGCATAATTTGTTTCTTATGCTCTACTTGGCATTTTGGTTTCATTGTTAGTAACAAAGTTACTTGAAAGAGCTCTCTTTCTTTCATTTTCTTTTGTACATTAAGCTTTATTTGTACAATTTTTATTTCTTGTGTACCCTTAAGAAACAGTGAATCACATTGTAGCCAGTCGAGAGTCTGCATTTGGAACACTTTAATATTTACTTCTCTAATTTTGATTTGCTACAGCTGGAGGAATGACTGGTAAATTAAGTTCGCCTGTTTGATTTGGTGATACTTTGATTGCAGAATTGGTTTCTTTTTAATTTGGTGGAAAATGTGTGGCCTACATGGGATGCCAAATTATTATCACTTGCTATTTTGGTATTTAAACCTGTGTACTTGAACTAAATGTTTCATATCATACAGTTTTTCATGTTCAATTCTTAACTCTGTTTTACTAGACTTGAATATCGAACCTACTACAGGAAACTACTATCCAACTGTGTTCTTCAATGAATTTTGGTTGCTCAGAGACAAACTGATAGCAATTAACGAGACAGTAACAGAGTTGCCTTTGCACCTGGAGGTTGGACCCATAAGTATGACCAAATGGCAGTTATTTTTACAGATTGATCAGTCATTTCAAATTCACCGTAGTTATGGAAGCATGCTTGAAGGTGAGGCTGATGAGCTTAAGGTATGATAACCAGTCCTACTTCTTTGAAGTTATTTATTAGTACTGATGGATTTCAAAAGAAATATTGGATTAATTTTCTATGTGCACCTCTCAGTTGAGATTCCAACCTGCTTTTTCCAATCTAACATACGCCATTGTGATGGTAGGCTGTGCTGAATCTTCTGATCGACTTTACAAAACATGGAAACATCATGGAAAGATAATTTTTGAAAAATTTGAGGAACTTTGGTTTGAAAATTGGATTAGTGGAAGGTTCTTTAATGTTTGTTCTCATGTTCTGGACCAAAAGCAGGAGTTAAGTTATTAATGTGTATACTGTGGATTTAATTAGTGCTAGATTGCAGCCCCTTTCCATTTACAATTGAGGATCATTCACTGCTCTAATTAGCTTCTTTATAAAGTGAAATCTGTGAAAGTAAAGATATTACTGTTGGTTTTATTTTGTGTGTTGAAAGATGATGTAAATTTCATTAAGAGGAGGTCTTCATTCAAGCAGTTGGTTGTTAATTTTTATTACCTCCATTTTTTCTTTTATCTATCACTTTAAGGTGAACCCAAAGTTTTTTTTCATCTGTCGCACTTCATTTCTAATGCAACATTAAATACAGTTTTTCCAATTTCACCCTTATCTCTCTCTACTTTTAATAAGATATATTAATGACAACCACGCATTCTTTTACTTCAATTTCAAAGTTTGTATAGTTCCAATACCTTTTTATTAGGGGCAAGAAAGGTATTATACTTAAAATTAAATTATCAATCATTGCTTTCTTAATACCTGTGCAAACCCTAAAGCGATAAATAAAAAAAATGGAGGTTGTTTGAATGTTAGCCTTGTTTGCTCTTCTTATGCATCATTTAAGAGAAATGTTAGTTCAAAAGGAGCAGCTTGTTGAAAAGCCAATAGTTTCTGCCTTTGACAAATATTTGCCTTTTCTTGTACTTCAAATTATAGTTTTAGTTGAAAAATTTTTAAATGGAAGTTTGATGCATCATGAGCTTGTAGCTAGGAAAGACTACAGTTGGAGTATAGGGCAATGCATGTTTGGTTCTAATGTTTGAACACTTGTCAACCTTAACAGCCAAAAGATTTGAAATTAAGTTTGTTTTGATGTTGTTGATGATTGCTCATATCGGACAGATTTTCAGTATTTTTCTTTCTGGTTGCGGATCAAATGAGTAATGCATTCTGGAGATCATGGTTCAGACATGCTATATATTTAGTTTCCTTTTTAGGGATGATGAAGACTTACTTTGTTGTTGGAGAATTTTAACCTTCATAGAGTTGACTTATTTTCTTGCTACTCATGTCTGCCCCCTTTTGTTTGTAGCTTTACATCGTTTTACCATGTTAACCTTTTCCTTATTTTTCTTTTGGTTGATTTGATTATTTCCTCAGAGAGTATTTTTGGAGGGAAATCCTTATCTTCTGGTGGTTACCATGGTGGTCTCGCTACTGCATTCTGTGTTTGATTTCCTGGCATTTAAGAATGGTAACATCACTCAGCTATGCAATTTCTTTTACTTGTTTGTATATCAAAGGTTAAAAAGTGGGAAATTCCTTAATTCTGATGCATTTATTTTCTCCAGATATTCAGTTCTGGAATAAGAACAAATCCATGGAAGGGTTATCTGCAAAATCAGTTGTTGTTAGCTTCATCTCTCAACTGATTGTGTTCCTGTATCTACTTGACAATGACACATCTTGGATGATACTTGCTAGTTCTGGCATCGGTTGCTGCATTGAGTTTTGGAAAATAGGGAAAGCAATGCACATCGAGGTATGAATTATGACTTCATGTGGAATACAACAGTAGAATCCAAGGTTAGAGATGTGGTAAAATATTGTTATTGATGTGAGCTATTTAGATATTTGTAATTATTTTCTTGGTGATGCATGATTCCGTCTTGATTAAGAGACTGAAAACCAGTTTTATAAAGTGGTAATTATATCCTTTTGTTTCCTCAGATTGACAGATCCGGCAAGATACCTATGCTGAGGTTCCGAGATCGTGAGTCCTATGCTAGTAACAAGACTAAGGAGTATGATGATCTTGCGATGAAGTACTTGTCCTATGTGCTATTCTTTCTTGTCGCCTGCTTTTCTATATACTCTTTGATGTACGAAAGTCACAAGAGCTGGTATTCTTGGATTCTCAACTCGCTTACAAGTTGTGTCTATATGTTTGGTAAGCTCACTTTCTGTTGATCTCTTTATCCCTTGCCTTTAATATGTTCTATGTCTGTGATTATAATCTGAAATTGATTGTATAGAAGTTAGTATAAACTGACTGATTTGATGTTTTGAAGTTTGTGGTTTGACATGATAAATTTACAATCATGCTTGGGGATTTGGCAACCAAGCATTGGCCATAAATACCTTTTGATTAAGCACTTGATTGAAAGAGTGTCTTTGGGGAGGGCCTGCTATTTGTGACTTTGAAAACATATATCCAAGTTTTACTTCATAGGAACAGCAGGACATGGAAATCCAATCAGTTATCACCTGAAACAGTACAGAGACTTCTGATCTTTCCAGTTTTGGTTGAGTTGTCGACCTTATATGATAACATGGATTGATTTTTTTTTTGCCATAGTAATATATGATCATTTATCATGGAGCCGTTTTGATAATTTGGACATCCAAGGGAAAGTGATGTTTAGTTTCATGAACCAGCTGTAAGGTTACCTTTGGGTATGGATATTTTGCTACTTTCTCAGTCATCTGGAGCTGTAAGGTTTTCAGGGATCACGAATTAAGAGGGATTGACTTGGATTGAGGATTAAAGCCCATTCTACAATGAAATAAAATTTTGCATGTGTCCTCTCTAGCTGCTCTTATCTTAGTTATAAGCCACCCTTGAAAATGTCCAAGAAGCTTTGTCATGTTAGTGAATCCTCTCTCATAATTTTCCTCAATTTTTCTTGGAGAGATCTACTTAACCGCTTAAATGTTACTCCCTCCGTCCCAAAAAAATAGTCCACATAGGGTTTTCAAATTTGTACTAAAAACAGTACAAAACTCAAAACTCAAAGTGGACTATTTTTTTGGGACGGAGGTAGTACGACTAAGGAGAGGGAAAGGACAACCTTGCACTAGAACTGAACAGAATATCTGCCTTTTATGTACATTTATTCCCCAGTACGTGGTGATGTTTAGTAAAATTTAGACTACAGCATTCATGTTTCGTTTTCTTTTTTCTGTTGCAGGTTTTGTTATGATGTGCCCTCAGTTGTTCATCAACTACAAGTTGAGATCTGTTGCCCACCTACCTTGGAGGCAAATGACTTACAAGTTCCTAAACACAATCATTGATGACCTCTTTGCTTTCGTTATAAAAATGCCATGGCTACATCGCCTCTCTGTTTTCCGTGACGGTGAGTTTTCGATACTTCATTCTTAACTCTTATTTGTTTAATTTATTTTTCTTATTTTTTTGGGGGTTGGCGGGATATTACTTAGTTGGCCTTCTCATCTTTGTATTCATGATGGAATGAAAGTGATCCCTACAAGCAAATGCTGAAACATTCTTTAATTTGTCTTGTTTAAAATATTTTAAATTTTTAATTCTAAATGGTGAAACATAGTTTTGTATTTGATGTGTAGCATGCATGATTTTTTTATTTTCTTTTTAATTTATGATTTTTCCGAAAATCTCACATACCTGGACACTGTAGTGCCTTCAAGATAGCTTAATTTTGTTGCAGCCTTTCTTCACTTCAGTGTTGGTTAAACCTAGAAGATTGATTGATTGATTGAGTTCATCTTGATAATTTGTTAATTGGGGTGAGATAGGGGGCGGCAGTTTACTTTTTCTTTTTGTCACATGGAAATTGAAAATATTTCTCTTTATTTTTTGGAAAAAAAATAATATTTCTCTTTGTTCCTGCAGATGTCATATTCTTGATATATCTATACCAGAGATGGGTATATCCTGTAGATAAGAAAAGGGTAAACGAGTTTGGATTTGCTGGGGAGGACGATCAGAGCTCTGGCAGCCAGGATGTAACATCAACCACGGAAGAGGAGAAGAAAACAAACTAATCTTAGTTGTTGTTTCAGGGTTCAATCTCCCTAAGTAAGTTATAGTACTACATCAGGATCTGTAAAATTATGGAAGAAAATAATTGATCTTGCCGTTGGTAGTTTTGTTGGTGGAAAATTTTGTTTGCTTTGTTTTTTTTTTTTGTTTTTTTTTTTGGAAAAAAAGACGCTCAAAACAGTTGCACAATTCTTTATTCTTATTTGTGGCTAGTGAGTGGTTCCTTGTCTGATAAACGTTCAATGTTGATCATAGAAATACTCATCTTACTACACTTAGGAAAGTATTCAGATCTGATTAGACGTTCACTTCTAGTCCTTTTCTCGGAGCTTTTACCAGCAGTGAGTTTTAACCTCGTTTTGTATTACTATCTTTTTTCTCTTTTTAACTTGGAAGTGTTTTTTGTTATCGTTTATTTGCACCATTTTCATTTGTAGCTCAATCTAATTTTGACCTCCATAAATATTTACTCGCAAGTAGCATCAACAAGAATATCCGAAAATATCATTTCACGCAGATGATTATTTGAAATGACTAAATTGGATCCTCCAAAGCCAGAACCACTACATCTGGAAGTGGCGTCATCCCAATTCCCGTGTATTGGCATCCCCCTTGGCCTCATCCCATTGGTGTTCAAATCCCACTTTTTGAACATCGGCTTACATACCGACATCAGCTTTGCTTCACAGTACACTGCAATGGCGAGCCCTGGCTAACTCGGTTGAACCAAAAGCATACTCAACTCGAGATGCAATAATCGAACTATTCCGCTCTTAATCATGACATAATCTAGTTCTCATGACAATGGAAAATGAACATAAGTTAAAACTCACAATATACTGTACCTTCATCTGTCTTGAACTTGGGCATCTTCTTTACTGCCATGACCACAACCCTTTTGGGTAAAAGGATTGCTGCCTGCAGTGCCAGTAATAATTACTTACTGGAATACTTGTGTCAAAGATAACCAATAGACAAAAGAAGAAACAGTTAACCTCCTCGAGTTACCATGGAAGAGATGTAGAGCAAGCCTGACACACCCCCTTAAATTCTCATATCACTCCTTTCCCATGTTCTGAGGCCAATTTGCATATATTTCCCTTAAATCAAAGCCAAAGATTTGGCTGCAAGCTTCAACTATGAAGGGAAACAAATCTTTTCATGTTAAATCCTACTCTTGTCACCAAAAATTGAGGGAATGGCTAGGTGACAAAAGAGCTCGGCATAGAGATATTCTTCTGAGTTCTGACATACCTTAATAGGGAGAACGATGGTCTTGATCGGTATACCATAATGAGTATGGTGGTGGCAAAAACTGATCAGGAAACTGTGCTCCATTATGTTGTAGTAACATAATATTGTTTTTATCTTCTCAGCGCAAAGGATATATGCATTGTTTTGCGTGGAGGAAAATGGACTAATTGCATCCGGTCCGTCAGCGCATGCATTTGGTTTCTGATTTCTTCAATCTGCAGTGAAAACAACTACCAGTTTCTGGCCCAGAATTGACTGTTCATCATCATCTTTCAAGTGTTGGACAAACCTTGTCGGATTCATCATGCTGTGTTGAAGAGTGTGAAAATGATGACATCAGCCCTTCCTGCTGTGACTGAATAGATGAACTACACGTGTCCAAATTTTGACAGCCTACCAATCCTAAACAGGTCACTTTACCAATAGTCCCCACAAGAACAAACACCGTCTCTAAAATGGTGAAACCGGTTAGAGTCCCGTACGATAATCACTCTACCAACAATTTTGGATATATACTTAATGGCAGTATGGCAATCTACACAAACTCTCAAGTTCTTAATCACACGTATAGGCCTCCCAGCTGGTATGTTCAATATTGCAAATGCTACGGCTAACTTTTCACTATGATACTTGAGCATATGCTCCTTTTCCTCCTCTTGCACGTCATGCAAGACCAGCTTTGGAGAAGAGACAAAACCTTCATGCTTCATCCTAAGATCTAACTCTTCCAAGAAGGCATAAATTCTATGACTTTGTGGATGGGTGGAATCACCAACAGAGAAAATGTGGATCTTATTTTGTACTTCAACCCAGCTGTATCCTGGTACTTTCTTCACGCCAGTATCCCTCATTTTCAATCTCATCTTTCCAACTTCACGCCATTTTCCTGAAGAAGCATATAGATTTGAGAGAAGAACATACATTCCCGCATTCCAAGGCTCCATTTCAAAAATCATCTCTGCAGCCTCTTCACCCAATTCTGCATTCCCATGGATCCTGCTTGCCCCAAGAAGAGCACCCCATGTTGCTGCATCTGCTTCAAAAGGCATGTCCTTCATCAGCTTCTGAGCATCATCCAGGCGTCCAGCTCGCCCAAGAAGGTCAATCATGCAAGTATAATGCTTAGAATTTGCAGTTATGCCATAATCTTCGGTCATTGAATAAAAGTAGTTTGTCCCAGTTTCTACCAGGCCTGTGTGACTACAGGCTGACAAAACACCAACCTACAGAGAACAAAAAGATATTGGCATATTTATGCATACGCTGGAGAAAAAATTATGATAAAAAGGAGAGGAAAAGAAACTACAAGTTGCCCTTAAGATAATTGGGAGACTTCAGAAAAGAGATGAGACGATCATGATTAATGCTTTTAACATTAAATGGTCATTTTCAGGAGTTCAGCAAAGTAATTGTAAGCTGTTTCAGGGTTTTACACAGGCTAATTGCAAAATCCAGGAACAAAAGAGAAGATCACAGGAAATGACAATCTTGGAGGAGATCAAGAGCATTTGACTTTCAAGGAAGAGTAATTTTGTCAACATGTGAGGTTTACAAGTGCCACATCATTAAAGCAAGAAGGTCAATTTAAGTCAAACAAAGAACTAAGAGTAAATCTTACCAAGGTAACCTCATCAGGTTTAATGCCATCTCTCTCCATTTTCTCAAAAAGTTTAAGAGCCTCTTTACCAAATCCATGCCTTGCATAACCATTTATAATTGTATTCCAAGAAACAATGTCCTTCTCTGAGATGTCCATGAATACATCATATGCCTCTTCTATAGATCCACATTTGCAATACATTGCGAGAAGTGCATTCCCAACATAGCATCCAGACTCAAATCCTGCCTTAAATACTTGCCCATGTATTTGTTTCCCCAACTCTAAAGCTGCAATATCAGCACACATGCTTAAGATACAGGTAAAACTAGATCTATTCATCCTTTCCCCATGTCTTTCCATTTCAGCGAACATATGTAATGCCTCCTCACTGTCACCATTCTGAGCATAACCTCCAATAATTGCTGACCAAGAGATGCAATCACGATGAGGCATCCTGTCAAACAAGCTCCGGGCACGTGCAGTATCACCATTTTGTGCGTAGCATGTTATCATTGTGTTCCATGAACTAATGTTTTTACAAGGCATTTTGTTAAATAATTCCCATGCCATGTCAACTTTCTTCGATTGGACATAACCAGCTATCATTGCATTCCAAGAGATAGCATTCTTCTCTGGCATCTCATCAAAGACCCTCCTAGCCTCATCCAACATACCATTTTGCACATACCCTGATACCATCGAAGTCCAAGCAAATACATCCCGAATAGGTGATTCATCAAATAGTTTCCTAGCCACCTCCATTTCCCCATTCTGAGCATAACAAGAAATCATAGTGTTCCATGATACTTTATCTCTTTCTGGCATCCTATCAAAAACACACCTCGCCTCTGCAAACATCCTTTTCTTTAGATAACCACCCATCAAACAGTTCCAAGAAACCATAGCCCAACACTCTTTTGACTCAAATAATCTACTGGCCTCCTCCATTCTCCCGTTCTGCACATAAGCTGCCAAAATCCCGTTCCACGAAATCTCATTCTTCACTGGCATCTCACAGAAAATCCGCCATGCCTCATCCACCAATCCATTCTGGGCATACCCCGATAAAATAGCATTCCAGGACACCACATCCCTTTCGGGCATTTGATCGAACAAACATTTCGCTGCCCCAAGATTCCCATTCTTAATGTACCCGCTAATCATCACATTCCAGGAAACAGAGTCTCTACACGGCATACTGTCAAACATTTCTCGAGCGAGTTCAAATTGGCCATTTGACAAGTACCCCGAAATCATAGTGTTCCAGGTGACCGAGGTCTTTCGATGCATGGAATTGAACAGCTGTAACGCGGCGCTGCATTGTGCACTTCGCATGTTGTTTGTTATGGCGATATTGCATTTTACAATGTCTGAGTCTGAGACTACTCTTTTCGGCCCCTGCTTTACTATGGATCTTTCTCTGGTGGATTTGGGATAACTGGACTTCTTGCGTGGTTTGGTTGGGAGATTGACAAACGATGATAACCTTTTTGCGAAGCACGTCCGAGGAATGGCACCCCTTAATAGCCGTCCTATGCGCATAATTTTGAAGCCTCTCCCAGTCCAACCTGAGGATTCTCTTTCAATTAAATTCAATTCAAAAATGAAACAAACACACAGTATTAGTTTAAAGAATAACACCAGTACATTACAACAACAACAACAACATACCCAGTATATTCCCAACTCGATGAAAGTACTTTAATTCAATACAAATACTCCAAGACAAAAGCAGTCATCATACATTACTAAAGGATATTATGATACCAATTACCCAATTTCGTCTGAAATTCATAGCGACTCTAGTCGTAAAATAAGCTACTGCACCACATTTCCAATTGAAACAACAAAACATGATTCTCTCAAATTCATAATTCAGCCGTTTAATGTTTTCCATCCCTAAATCAAAACGGAACCTGAAACCGGCTGGGAAGAAAAAGAATGGAAATTAAGTAGTAACTTACTACCGTAACGTTTAAGGCCAAAGCTGGCACCGGAGTCAGAAGTAGAGGAAGCGACGACACGGTGGCAGTGAAGCTGGCGCCGGAGACAGGACCCGTGGCGGGGGCCGGTGGTGAGGGAACAAAGAAAAGGAAGGAGGGCGGAGAGCTGGAAGACTGCACCAAGGAAGATGGTCAAATTCTAAAAATTAAAATAAAAAAAAAAATTATGAAAAATATTTTTTCTTAATCAATTGGCTCTAAATATTTTTATTCGATTTGGCCCTTGTCACATGTTTGTTTAGATCAATTGTAGTAGTAGTAATAGTAGTCATTATCATATGATAATGAGAGTATTAATTTTCATTCTGTTTAGACTTTGAATTGATAAATTTCATCAAATTCATTCTAAAGGAAAAAGTGGTTTAAGAGAATTTTTTTTTCTTTGTTTGTTATGAAATCATGGATAATTAGAAATTGAATGATTCAAATCAATGTGAGGAAAGAAGTTCATTTTCTCATAAATGAGGATGGTTCAGTCTTATTTTGTGACGAAACATGAATCTGCATCGATGTCTCCAGTTAATTGAATCGGCGGCCATGGCTGTATCAAAACCCTAAAACCTGCAAAAGAGGACCTCGGAGTCTCCCGAGGGTAGCCATTCGATACTTAAGTCAGTAAGAGTAATGGTAATAGAGGTATGAACTATGGTGCGTAGAGCGTACCTTTGATGTGAGGGGCTTATCCTTATTTATAGAGATAGGTTATGAAACTCTTTCTTAGTAGGAAAGTAATTAGGAACCGTCCTAGAAGTTTTCGAATAGTCGATTGGATCGTTTCTCGAACTTGGGCCGGCTACGGTTGAGGGTTGCATATATTGGACTCGTCAAGTACCCCTATCACGCTTATATTTCGAAGTCTGAAGATAGTGTAGGCTTGATAACGTGAAATTTAAATTTTCCTCAAGTTTGAGAAGAACTTACTTGAATCGAGAACCTGCGACAGGTTAGCATCGAAGAGAAATCAAAGGAATGAAAGCATTAGCACGTACCTTGTCGAATGTACGCGTCACAAAGAGCGATTGACATTTACGCCAATTTGTAAAGAAAGAAGAGTCATCAGTTCAAGCGAGAAGTCGATAGGTGATGACCTTAATAATCTGCCCCATGGAGATATCAAAGCAGATGCTCTGTTATTTGAGAAGATGATAAAGAAGTGTAGTGGAGATGTCCACTACTCGGAATATGGAGATGTGCTATCAATAACTCCCAAAGATACAACGACTGCCAGAATGAAGACTCTGGTTAAAAGCCGCCGAGAGAGTCGAGGAGGAAACGTAGTGGAGATTTCCACTAGTCTCAAAATTTATGTAATTAGCAGCAGCTAAGATATATCAACTGTTGAAACGAGGAGTCTACTGGGGAATTGTGACGTATGCTTCTAATCAAGAAGTAATAGACTCAAGCCTCGAGAATAACCACAGAGCAGTGGATTAAGAAACATCATGAATGAAGACAGAATATTCCGTTGGTACTCGATGTTGAGAACATAAGTTTGAGAAGGAACACTGTCTGGGATTGAACCGCACGTCGAGAACTTGCCCCAATGTGAACTTCTGTTAAGAAATCCAGAGACTCGAGACTGTCACCATAAGCATTCCGATTATCGAGGAGAGACAGAAGAGAGTAGAAGACACCGTAGAAGATGCCGCATGTGATTACGTCAATGCATGGATAGTGAGACTCGAGAAGATTCTCTCGAGCAGAACTCCAGAAAGCACTCGAGAATTGTAACTATCTAACCTTGAAGAAGGTACACAAGCATTTAAGCTTATTTATATCCGCCCAACCGACCTGCTTGCCATTTCTCATGCCCCGAGAAATAAAGTATAGAACCCTTAGTCTGGGTTTGAGGAGTATAAATCAGGTTGATGTGTCGAACCCGAGTAGATGTATAATATCGTTGCTTGAGACTCGAGAAAGAATCGAGGAGGTTTTATGCATTAGTGTGAGAACAAATAATGCCCCAGTCTGAGTATTAATTGAAGACCGTCGAGAAAAGTCATAGGAAGAGATCTATAGACCCAAGATCATCACGAAAAAAACAAAAACACAACCTCCCAAACACCTTATACACCTTCCAGACATCTTACACACCTTCCAAACACCTTACAATCTCCCATATATAAACGTTCCTCGTTATAGATAACCTCGGAACCATTACTCATCTCGGAGCCCCCAAGTCTTGGGGTGGCATTTGGCAGACCGAGACTTTTAGATGAGAGTGTAATTTCCACTGCTCAGTTCGAGGCGATGACTGATCAAAAAGCCCCCATACTCGTAGGGTTAAGGCAATAAAATGGCGTCTATCAGAAGGAGATGGATGGTAAGCACCATAATCGAAGAAACAAGCCTTTGTTGACAAGGCACAAAGTGAACTCGAAAACATCGAGAATAAAGTCATTTTCTTTCTGATGCATTGGATGATATAATAGATCGATCCAAGAAAGCATACTCGAGAACAAGTTTAGTTCTCATTGAGGTATAAAACACGTGTGTTTAGGTTTGAGGGATAGTCCTCCCTTGTTCATGAACATGGAAATCTTGGCCTTTTTCAATACCGGATCTCGAGTACACGGCTTATGAGTTATTCGTAAAGCGCTTATAATGGCTGGATGTTAATACACAGCTCTTTAATAGGCGATCCTAAAGAGAATACCTTTGCATGGACGATTCTGAAGAGAATGTCTTTCCAAGAACGATCCTGGAGAGGATATCCACGAGGAAACTGGATACGAGCTCGTCGAGTTTAGACTGTTAGTTGTAATAGTTAAGGATATCCTGACCTAATGAAGGTCCGGATGTTGAATACACGGTACTTTCGAGGACGGTCCTGAAGAGGATGTCCGTCTTGAGAATGGTTCTAAAGAGGATGTCCGTTCAAATGACTAGTTATGTTTAATTGGGTGTAATTGGATATATGTAATACGCTAGTTCCCATGAGTACTCGAGTGAGCTACCACTATGTGCATTAGACAGATAGTCTATATCCTGGGTTTAAAGTATAAATGCCCTAAGGTCAGAGCAAACTTGATGTTGCCGCTGTCCTCGAGGGATCATGTGTGAGAGTTATGTATCTCTACCTTTTTTGCCCCTGAGTTCTCGGGGTATGTCTATCCTGCAAGTTAGATTGATACATGTAATGCAAGTATAATAATGACATGCTTATGCAAACAGTGTGAAATTCATCTAATAAGGACATAAAAAGGGTCCCGAGTCTTGGAAACATTCAAGTGTAATATGCCGTTCTCCTTGATCAAGTGTAATACCCAAAGGCTCGTTTGAGCGTACCTTGGTTTAGAGGAAGAATGCGTCTAAATTCTTTCATGATAATTGTCGGGATATAGCATTCTGATGGTGATGCCTCTCGAGTGCAGGCACGATGATAAACCAACCTGTTTCTCTGATCTTGACAAAACACCTACTCATGCACTTGTAGATTTATTAGTGAATAATAAGTTATCATAGAACGAGAAATGACATGGGATACAATATACTATTAAGGGACTCTGCCCCTTTCAAAAAACAGCCATTTTGAGACATAAATATAAGAAGTGGGAAGATCACCATAGTATGAGAAAGGCTATTGAAACCATGGTTTGGTTAACTCACAACAGATATGAAAGAATGCTGTGGAAATCATGCAACACTTCTCCACGGATTTGTACTTACTACGGACCCGTGAAGAGTCATAGCGATTTAACATGAAACTGGACCATCGGATGTGAAAGTCACTGCGGCTTCCAGATAGCCCCTTCAAGTTAGTTATTCGGTAGAGTAGATACAACGATCCATTGCGGCTCATAGCTCAAGGAAAGGAAACCATCCTGCACTAAGACCTTTACAACATATTACCAATAACTATAAGTACGAGAGGGGTATCTACCCCCTTTCAAAAGAAATGAGCATGACTTGGCTATCGACTTTTAGATTGATCGAAATATTTATGCGTGGAGAGTAAACGAAGTCATTTTTATGTGAAAGTTGTAGCATCGTGCTTCATGAATAATAAGCAATAACACAAGTAATTGGTAAATAAATCATGCATCTAAGAAATACTTTTCATGCAAGAAGTTTGCATGCAAAAGTTCTTGGACACGGAAGAAGCTTGAGAGACACATATGTCTGATGTGTCATAATACGAATGCAAGAACATTTATTCCATGCTCATGAACGATCATAACATTCATATTGTAAGGAAGATGTTTATATATTTAGGAAATAATATTATAAGGAGATTGTATCACTTATCTATTGGCACCCTTCCAGGGGTATCCACAAGTTAGAGCGGCAATACCCATTTGTCAAGAAACTCCTCATTGTTGTCGACGGAGCTCGTTCTTGACATGTACCGTATATTGGTCCTTTATTTGTTCGAGGCTACTGTGGCCTAATTACACTCTTGTATCATAGAGGGGCTATCTTCGTTCTCACATTTATGCAAGTTCTGCAAAAATAGGTGGAAGTTCTCCCCCAAATCGAGTATGCCTTTGTGATAGAAGGCCCTGCATAACTATTCTCAAGATCATACAGTTACAGCTTTTCGAGAAAGATGGAGGCAATCAACATAATGTGCTATGGTTAGATTTTAGGTCGTCAGTAACAATTAAACGCCACTTGAGAAAGCATAGATATCACAACTCTGTGACTTTACCTTAAGAATTGATGCGTGTGAGGGCTAGATAATGGTTCATCATAAATGTAATGATACAAAAACTAGCAAATTCACACATAGCATGTATGGAGAATAGGCTAACGATTTGATTTGTAGTCTATGTGATTTGAGACATTAAATCAGTCACACATGCATATTGAAGTTACAGTCAATAGAATGATGCCTGTAAAACTCGATCCTTGATTTATGAGTCCATCTCAGCCTCGAAGAATCGACTGAGTGGATTAAGGAATAGCACGAAAACATGCATGTACGATGTTTTCAAATAATTCATGTGATATACTATTTATTCAAGGATATGATATCCAGAGAACATGTAAATGCCAAGGAGATAATAACACATATCTTCCTTTTCGAGCAGGTCATTGCCCCTTGGAATGGGTTGCTTCGTGATTCGAAAAAGATGCTCCTCGAATCGTCTTATTATAAGACTTGCAAAACCAAGTAGTACAACTGCGCCACGCTCGGGCAGG